ACCAGTTCATATAGGATAAATAAACACTTGTTTTTTTTTTCTTCACATACGATCACATTTATTTGTGACAGCAAAGATATACATGTTTTATAAAAAGGCTTTAGTTGTTTTTTTTAAATACTAACAAAGGTACCTGATCTAATTTATAAAAATTATAACTATATTTGGTATGACTGCGACAGGCTGGCGATCTGTCCAGGATGTACCCCATCTTTCATCGGAACGTAGCTAGAGATAGGCACCAGCACCTCCCCACCCCGTTGGGGATAAGGATGAACAGAAAATGGATGGATGGATGGATGTTTAGTCTGATTTTTGCACACATTTGTTGAACAGATAACTGTACAACTCTTCTGTCTCCTTTCTGACAAAACCTATTTTTCTTTTTTCAGCATTCGTCTTTTATTCTGCATTCTCTTTCTCACTATATCCTTGGCAGTGTCTCACCCCAACCCTTCTGTGTCTGTGACAGTCTGTGTGCCAAAGAAGGCTGATGATGAAGTGTTAATTCATCTAACCTCCCACGGTTATGTGAAGAAACCTCACATTTAATGAGCAAACAGCTAGACTAACCAATTCATGCCTATGGTATTTCTGCTACACCTTGTGTGCATGATCATGTAAGAGTTCATGTCTGCATGTATTTTTTTTAATTTACAGGTGCAGGATGATACACATATCATCCACAGGTGTTGGTGTGGTGATAAATTTATAAATGCAGTGCATAAACACTTGAGCAGTTGTCAAGAGGCTCTGCACTTATTGTTGTCATATTATTCCAAAGTAAAGGTGTCAGGCAGCCTTACTTGATATGGAGTTATCCTTTCTATCAAACTAAAATGACTGCAAATAAACCATGCAGATCATGAAAATGAAATGCACAATTCCAATACATAAACAACTGAACAATTTTTAGAGAGGCTTGATTTATTCTTAGACATTCATGTGTAAAGGTGAAAGTGTCCTTCTTGACAGTAATTTTCATTTCATAGAAGATTTTGTGGGGCTAGTGGCCTTTACTCTAAGTATTTTTTTTTTAGAGGAAAGAGGTTAAGAGAAGATGGGGAACGACATGCTACAAAGATCCTGAGGTTGAGAGTTGAATCACGGACGGCTGCTTCCAGGGCTAATAGCTGCCGTCTATCGGGTGCCTGCTCTATTGCTACATTGTGAGGCGCCTAGAGAGTTTTCCCTTTGGCCAAACTAAAACGACTACAGAAACATGGCAAAATGCATGTTCCTTTATTTAATGAAATAAAATAAAAATATCTATACCCAGGGCAGCCAAAATGAATGATTTAACTGCCTGTAAAAATAAAATAAAATGCATTAATGCAATGTAATCAAAAGGTTGAAATGTTTACTTACTGCCTGATATACCAAGACATTCGCAGCTGCCATGATGAAGAGATGATCTGTGGTACTCACTTTCCTTGTTAGCAGTCATTATGTTATCACTGATCACTAAAATAAAGTTGTACCTCAAAACTACTTTATTTTTTTTGTAGCAGCAATAATAGAATAAAAACAGACAATTTTTTTTTAAATTCACATTGAAGCGCAACTATGGGTGTATGTGCCTTTCAAAGCAAAGGTTTTGAAAAATGCTGCTTTTTAGCTAATTTAGCAGCACCGATAAATCATAAGTATATAATATTCAGGGGCTCGGCATTACCACAGATATGTATTATTACTGGCACATGTGATGATCATGCTTACTTCCATTATGATATGACTTCCATTATGATATGACATGGAAATGCTCAGAGGGATGTCAGTGAATTAGCCACAATTTTCAAGTATTTTTTCTTTTCTGTTTGTATTTGCATCTATCTCCGTCTTTCTTCCTGATTAAAAAGCCAAATCAAGAGTCAAATTGTGCACACCGTGTCTTCCTGTGACATTCTCCACACTAATCCTAATTTTATTCCTCTTCCCTCATTTCACTCTCTCTCTCTCTCGACTCTCCTGACTTTCAGGCTGAAACCAAACCAAAACCTTTTCTCCCCAAACACATAGATTCATTCACACGCACCATTTGCATAATTTATCATTTACATAATTGATTTCCAAGGAAGCGTTTCACACTTTGCGAGGTGGTGTTGGAGTCCAAAAGGTCTGATATTGCCATGCATGCACATATACACACACACACACTCACGCATGCATGCACTCACTCACACACATTTACATTGCTATGCTCACATGGTTTTGTTGTGTCACAGTCTCTGCCTCTGTTTTTTTCTGTTTTCCTCTCCCACAGAGAAATAGACAGAAACACACTATGTTACTGGATGGTTAAGATTCCAAGTCTAAATGAAGCATGAAGCGTTGCCAAGCTGGTGCATCTGGTGACCTGCTCGGTACACGCAGCAAACATAATCAACTAAGCATACATGATCAAATGTATCAGGATCCATGAAATTGGTGTGGTTATATTGAAGGAGCAGCTTTGATTTTTCTGGGCTGGTAAAATGTGCCCCCCTTTTCACCTATACAGATATTTTGCACTTTCAGATCATTCTTATCTATTAAAATGCATGAATTATTGTCAGGCAGAGACAAGGACCCATCAAGTCTCCTGAGAAAACAGAATTTATTGAAATGTTATTTGTCCTCTTTTTTTCTCCTCTGAACATTACTCACTGATATTGAAACGGTTTGTGCCCATTCCAGATACTTGGGTAGAAAAGGACATAAATATTAGGATCATAACTATAAACATGAGGTGGTGCAAAGATGAAACTGTTTCTGATTAAAAATGGATGATTTTTGCATGTTTTTTCCATAAGATGTTTTTCCATTGTTTTTTGCAGTAATACTAATAATTATTTTAGCTTAATATTACACTAGGCTAAACTAATGTGTCAGCTATTGTCCACTTACCCCATATTTTATGATTAATCAATTCAGCGGGTTGAACAATTTGTAAATTAATAATCTAATGTAACATTGTATTAATTTTGAATGTAAAATTAATATTGTATTCAATAGTGTATTGTATTCAATGCAGGTAATACAATGCTCTACCTACATTGCAAGTATTAATTTTGAATAAATTAATATGAGGCTTACTGCCTTTTTACCAAGAAGGCAGTGAGTATGTATAGATAGACAAACAGACAGACAGATAGATAGATGGAAGCTTTTTCAAAATGTTTCTTTTACATGTGTCATCTTTAAAGACAAGTCAAACCCTGGACTGGTCACCAGTTTATTGCAGGGTGGAATAAGTGACATGACAGCTCGACATTTTCTTGGGATTTGGTAACTTAAATGGTAGAACAAAGCGTTCATTTCCTCTAATCATATAAATTCACCCCATTTTGGACAAAGTTGTCATGTCCTCCAACCAAACATAAAATACATTGCCTGACATGTGACAAGAGAACCAAATAAAATTTTTTATTGTTCTGAAGTTATTATATACACGAGTGGATGGTTTAGAGCCACCGCCATGATGGTTCCAAAAGTCAGTCTATAGGTTTTTACATTCACGTTGACGTTTGGTCATCAGAGAGACCTGAATCACATAAATATAAGGTAGATGTACCTGCAGTCACTGTTTGCTATTGGCCCGCAGACTCCATCAAACTGGTTGGGCATGTGTGTGTTTATCTGTCTCTGCATCTCTACAAGCCCCTTCACCTCTCCTCTAAAATCTTTCATCTGTGGAAATGGGACTGCCTCACGCCTGTGAGCAATCCACGGGGATCCGGCTATTCACACATACATGGACACTCTTAGACACACATTCAGATTTGGTCCAGTGACCGAAGAGCGGGAAGGTTTAACAGATGGTGTCGGCTGTATCCGTTACAAAGATTACCCAAAACCACACAAACACATTTTGCAGCCACTGGCTTTGTGAGTTCACCTCATTTAACTCAATGGTGTTTTTATGAGGCATAGCAACATTAGAGCCAGCTACCACTTTAATCTGTCCCCTCTGTGTTCTGTATCCAATGCCAGACTGGGAGAGCTTGGTAGGAACAATAAAACAGAATATGGCATTGTACGCCTGTCTGAGCTTTGCTTGATTTGGGGATAGCCTACCATGTATGGTCATATAATACTTTGTGGCCGTATTTCACACCAAGTAGCAAAGGTCTATAAATGATCACGAATAGCATAAAAATGGATATGCTATTTAGGAGTGTCAGATAACTCCATGTTCATTTATTTGTCCTAAAGTTTAGGAGTAACTGTGTTGCCGAAGCATTATTTGAACAGAATAATGCACAGGAGCTCAACTGCTTTAATCTCAGAAACCTCAACAGTTTTTACTAGAAATCACAGCAAAGCTTTACTTCAAACTTTTGACTTGGTTGATTTTTAACTAAAACACATGCTGTGAATAAGTAATATAGCTTAAGAAACTGCAAAGCAAAAATGAACTTTTTAGTGTGTTTAGAAGATTATGTTGATCTCAGTACTCTGACATAGCATCTTGTCTGTGAGTGTCAACATTTTTGTTTCCCACAGAGCACCCCGAAATGCTGCCTCTGAAATGTTTAGAAGGTGTTGATTCTCATTTAAGGCTGTTGTAGCACAGTGTTGTCAGCTAACTTGAGAACATTGATTAGGTGATTCTGTCAACACAACATTGCAACTCAGATCATAACACCATAACAGAAGCTATACTGGAACCAAGTTACAACATTTAGTCGTTGGACAGTTTTAGATGGATATGTCTGTGTATCAGTATAAGCATGAGTATGTTTCTTTAACAATATGTCTAGAGAAACGACAGGATATATTTTCTTGTAAATGTAATGTAATATAAACTCTAAAAGTATACTGCTACGCAAACAACAGCAACAACAGAACCCATACATGTTTTTCTAAGGGATTTTAGACGTACCAAGTTTCTTTCTTCTGAAAGTTTCTGGATTCTACTTTCTGAAATTTGTCTTCATCTCACCTCCTTTTTCACCTAAACTCTGTATCATTCCTCCTTCTATTGTCTCTCTAACTCCAGTTCCCTCTCTATTTCCTAGCCAGCAGATTTGAATGCGTGGGTAAGCAACAACACTATTACCGTCTTAGTTCGGCTATTCCTTTCTCTCTTTCTCTGTCTCTTTTCTCTATTTAGATGTCATGTTTTCATTGTGCTTTAAAGCAAGGCTGCAAGTGTGCTGCCGCCATCATTTTGCACAACAAATCTTTGGGAGGTATTCAGCTAGAAAATTACACATCATCTGTGCTGCTGGCAGAGGAGATTTTACATGCAAACGCACATATACACACATTCTGCAAGCATCAAACAGCTACCGTTGAAAGAGAGAGCGTAGAGTAGGGATTTGCACATGTGCTCTTCGAAGATGCGTGTGTCTGTTAAGTTAGCATGAGATTACACTGGATTACAATAAATGTTATGTCAGTCAGTGTAGCTGTGCTTGTGGGCATACTGATTTTTTTAAATGGTACAGAAGAAGAGTTGATCATTCTCTTACTAATTCACCTGTTAAGTAGAGAAAATAGTCATCATCTTGACAACATTGATTAGGTGATTCTATCAACACAACATGGCAACTCGGATCATAACACCATAACAGACTTCACATTAATTCTTGTGTATTCAAGAGTTTTTTCATGAGTTTGTTTTAAAATACGGCTGTATAATTAATCAGCTTAAAGCAATATATCTGTTTTCTGAAAAAAAATTAGTGGCTCTGTGTGTATATGTTTATGTGAATAAATTAATTTGAAAACCAAAATACATTTTTCTGAATTATCAGTACAATGTGGCAGTGAACATATTTCTCAGCATTGTGAAGCACAAAGTATTTACAATCTTCTGGCTCCCTGACTTTTGTCCATTCAAAACTCATTCATTTTTATTTTCTATTGATTTCTGTTTTTTTTTTTTAGCTCTTTTGCTGGTTTTCACTATGTGTTATTCAAATTCATATTATTCATGGAGTTCTTTTTAATCATGTCATTAATATTTTGGAAATTATAAAATTGTATGCCCCTATGCTTTTGAAACAGGTTTCTTTTTCTATCAATGCATACATGTATCTATCTTCCAGCTAAAATACCAACAGATTTTCAAAGTGTGTCTCTCTCTCCCTGTCGCTCTCTTTTTTCTTTTTTTTTTTCCTTTTTTACATCTGTCTTTTGTCTTCTTCTGCTTGCATGCTGCTTTGCCATGGCCCAAACTGTGGGTCTTTCTTCAGCCAGTCCACCATCTTGCTGCCTGTCACAGCTTGGCTCACTGAGCTTTTAAAAGGCTTTTACCTCCTGCTAATGTCAACATCACCACTTCACCTCCAGCCACAGCTGTGCCAATCTTATGCCACCTAACTAGCTTTGTAAGTGTCATTGCCTGGCGTTGTTTACAATGAAATAGACATTCTTTGTGCTGCTTTGTAATCTAGATTTTATGGGTTCTAATTAAATGTACAGTTCCAACACATTACTGATGTTATTTTGACTTAAAATGAATTAGTAGGACTTGTGAAAAGAAGTGAAGGCTACCCAGAAATACATAACCAGTCATGTTTTAACTGAATACTTGGGAAAGATGAAATCACACTTTTTTGTTTTTGAATTCTTTTGAAATCTCAATATGCAAATAATTTGTTAATTCACAGTGGAAGAAAGTATTAATCTTTTGCATTTTTCAGCTGTATTACTAAGCCCAGTTGTGTGTTTAATGCTTTGGGGAACACAGTCGTAATATGACTTGTTTAACTCAGCGAACACCTTCAAGTACTGTTCTCCTGCATAGAATTGTATCAATTGGAAACATGTGAAGTATATTTAGTTTAAGCATTTATTATACTCTGTAAGATAAAGATAGCATAAATCAATCTAGGTTAAGTGTTTTAATTGATTGATTTTTTCTTTTTTTTGTCATTTAAAAAAAAAAAAATATGGGCTGTCATATATGCTGTCATTCACATTTAATCTCTGTCTCTTTCTTGTTTTCTTTCCTAGGCTAGACTGTTGGAGCGGAAAGAACAGGAGCTGGCCACAATCCAGAGTTTCTACAAAGAGCAATTAGAAATGATGGAGAAAAAAGTAAGAATGCTTTTGCCATTTTTGGTGGTTGTTTGTTGAAGTATTAGAAAATCACAAAAGCTATATTTTGTGGGAAAAAGTGGTTTTGTCCAAAAAAGTTGTTGGTTTGTTGCATTGCACAGCTTTCTCAAGAGTGTTTTTATTTATTTTTTATTTTTAACTCTCTCAAAAGAAACATGGCATAATTACAGAGGTAGATTGATCTTACCTCAGGTAAGAATATAAGTTATACTACTATAGATTATCAAGGAAGTATTAAAATACAAACTACCTTGAGTCAGCAGCCAGATGGGAATTCAGATGTGATGAAGCAGCTGCATCTCAGATGGATTTATTTACTTCATTACATATGGCAAGGCAAGTTTGTGTGTACAGCACCATTTATGTAAATGGAAGCTCAAAATGCTTTACAGAAAAATAAACAAACAAAAATAAGACACCCTTCTTTCTACCATTTTATGGTTTTTCATGTGAAAAAGATAAATGCAGGTTGTTGGACTTTGTTTCTTTCTTTTTTTTTTTTCTTTTTTTTTTTAGAAATGATGTCTTTGGTTTTTTGAATCTTGTGTCATACAAGAAGAAAGTTTGTGGTGTAAAGTATCAGGACCTATTGAAAAATGTGTCATACATACCAGATTTCAACTCAAAAAACACATCAGATGTCAGTTGTTGTTTGGAAAATAGTATGAAGCTCAAATGGGGAGGAACTTGCTTAAAAAATATAAGTAAATCCATAACTCAATTCGTGTGGCTAGTGCCCTTTTCTCCTTTAGACATTTGACATGGCAGCAGCACAGTGACTAGGACCTGCGGCTGCAAGACAACACCACATCACCACCTCTCTATCACATACTAAAGATCTAGTGTTAGGTTTTTGTGCTGAGTTTAATTTCTGATAAACATTGTGCTGTGTATTGTAGCCAAGCACCTCTGCCTTGGTCTTCATTTGCAATTTCTCTGCTCATTGCACTTACCATGTAAAAGTAAAATAAAACGTAGAGAAAGATATTATGTTATGAAACTTTAAGTGGCAACCTAATATGAAATAAAGCTATGAAATCATCGAAGAAAAACAAACTCTTCTGTATGCTATTGCCCTTTTCTCCTTGCCCATCCTCTGGGTGTTACTGTGTGTATTCACAGCTTTTCCCTCAAGTATTAGTTGGAGACTCTTTGGCTCTTCCACTCTAACCCTCCCTCCTTGCGGCAGTGCCCATCAGGTATACAGGAGGGGACCTTATCTAGTCCCTGGCACTCACCTCCTTTAGGCCTTTGAGAAAACCTTTTACATAGCCAAGTTAAATGGTGGGGTCTCTGCATGACTCGTAGCAAGCAGCACGCGCTGCAATGCTTGACAGAGAAGACTGATTGGCAGGAGAGTGCAGGATGCTCTATCTTTCTTCGCTTGGCGCCACAGTCCCTTTTTCTCTCCTATCTTTTTCTCCCCCCATCATTTTCTCGCAGCTGACCTGCATGTGGATGAGGTAGTGAGAAAGAAAGGGACTGAGTGGGAGGAGATAAAAAAAAAAAGGCTATGCGGACTGTGCATTAAACAGACTGTCTGTCCTCAGTCGGCGACCATCTTCCACCTTATTTTCCTTCATTTTGCAGTCCAACACTTTATTCATCCGGCTCTCCATTCATGGCATTGCTCCTATTTTGCTGCCTACCCTTCTCCTTTTTATTCTCCTATAACTGTCGCTGAATTTAGTTGGTTGAAAATAAATGGTCTCTTAAAATTTGAATGGTGACGGACAGAGGTCATATACATAAAATTAAAAAGACTGAAAGAGTTCACTATTGAGTCATATCCTTAAGAAAGCTTTTCATAATGTATTGTCAAGAATAAATAAAATAAAAGGCATTCATAACAGAGTCAATTCAGTTGTTTCATCAGTACTTTCTATTCTGTTGCTGCTGATAGTCATAGATAGTTTTACTCAGACACAGTCTAGATATTGACCATGGATCTCCTGAATAAAACACTGTATACGTTTTAACATGGGACTTGCATACAACAAAAACTCCCAGCATTTTTTTTGTCATATTGGCAACTAGTTTATCATGTTTACCATTAACATTTTCTAGAAATATGTTCTAATGTTAATGGTAAACAACTGATAAAACAAAGAGCAAACTCAATCACCAATCATCTAATCAAAATACAATCTTTATTCTTTTTATTTTTTAAATAAATCCCCCTTCATGGGAGTTGTGAAAATCTTCAGGATCTACCTAAATTCTAATTCTTTATATTTAAATATCATCATATTGATCACACATAGGCTTTAAACATCTTCGTACTTATAAATGTTTAAAACAAAGATAATTTAATGACAATTACTGTCTTACTCTTCCTTTGACTTAAATAAAGTTGTCTGGAAGAATATGTGAGTGTGCACATGTGTGTTGCCTGTGTGGAAAAGACATAATCAAACATACTTCAATTTCCTGTTTGTCTTACAAATGAAAGAAGATAACAAAGTATTCTGTTTGTCTAAAGGCTGTAGATGCCATTTGAGTTCACTACTAACACAAATGTGCAAACAGCCGGTGTGCGGGGGTGTATGTGTAAACGTGTGAATATTGTCTTTTTATTGACAGGTTCATGGGCAAGCTGTCATCTTTGAAGAACTTATTATATAGTAACTGATTGACTGCATGCATCCTAAGGATATTAATAAATTGTGTACTTTTTTCACTTACAAATATATACTGACAATAAAAACAAAGCTGCTGAATGGAGTTTGGATTTCCACTGCAAAACAAAATGTCTTTTTAACTGATTTGATATGGATATAAGTTTTCTTTTATTTTTTTCCATCTGGTGTGAAATGGATTGATGTTGATGGTACATACTGTACTGCTGTTGCAGGCATGGTGGAGCTTACTACTATATACTCAAAGTGATTTCCATTCGGGACATGACAATCCTAAGTGCTTAAGTAGAAGGCAACTGGACTTCTTGTTAGACTAAGATGAAGAACATGTTTATTCCATTTATTACTGGAGTCTAAGAAAGGAAGGATATTTTCCTGGCATGTTCATCCCAAACACAAACTTAGTGGTGAACCGGCAACCCCCTGATTGTGGGGTGAACTCCGACCACAGTCGTTGTCACCGAGAAGAGCAAACTCACAGGTTTAGAATCCACGGTTCATTTGCATCTCAAGGACACGGGATACTTGTTTAAAAGACAGAAATGTGTAACCTTTAGGAGGTTAGAAAAGTGGTTTAAGAGAGCAGGGGAAAAATCCATAAATATTAACTATGAACACTAATATTAACTATGGCTTCAGATTTCATCTTTCAGACACCAACTCTGCAGCCCTGACTCATCTCCACAGGAGTTTTTTTCAGCAAATTACACCTTAGAAGATGTCATTGAAACCACTCAAATGGAATTGTTGGGGACATGTTTGCATTGTCTACTAACAATCCAAAATATGAGCTGAATGGAGGATAAGACCTATGATTTCCCCATTAGTGACTTCAGTTGGCTTACATGTATGATTGTTATTACTGGAACTTATAAGCATGTGACTTTAAACCATGTTCAGAATTGAAGAGGCATTTCGGATGAGAGGCAAAATGTCTTTAAGAATAAAGAGAAGTAGCTCAGTGGCCTTCCACTTAAGTGCTTAGCTGGTATGATAAGGCTCATTATAAATCTGTCTGCCTGACCATCATTTTCTGAATCGGACTTTTTTTTCCCTGTCAACATCAGTCAAATCTTTGATGGCTCGCCAGAAGGTTGCCGTTAAGACAGACCATAAGTATTACTCTTCTGTACCAAATTTTAGTTTGTCCCAAGTCTCTTTACTTTGGACTCTGAACCAGATGATTGACTTTAAAGTATTTTCAAGAGGTCTCTACATGTCTCATACAAAAATACCAAACAGAGTTTTGCAGATTTTCACTCAAGAAATAAAACAATACAAACAAACAAAAAACCCCATTAAAGTCCAATGTCTTTTTGACTCGCTTGAGCCTGGATTCCTTGACGATTAAATGTTTTTGCTTTACCTGGATCCCCTCTAACCCACTCTGGCAGTAGCAGCATTTGAGAGAGACAAAGTCAAAAGAAGATTTTGATTGATCAAAATGACTGGGTAAAAGATGATATTTCATTAAATATGAACTTCCTTATGGCATCTAAGATGCAGAACTTGTCCAGATGCAATGAATTAATAGTGAGCTTAGTCACAAGAATGGTGTTTTTAATTTTAAGTTTTTTTTTTAATAAAATTAAACAGCAACAGAATTTAGTTTTTGTATAAACACTTTCCAAGGAGAAATTTTAACCATTAAAATCATTAATAAAGAATAAAATTAGTAAAAATTGTAGACGAATATACTCAAAAGAAGTATATTCAGCTGCCTTATCAGTAGATGCATGAGCACATGCAAGCTTATTTTGAAGGGTAGATAACAGTCTACAAAAAGAAATAGCAAAAGAAACAAAAAACTGACATCGTACACTATGTCTAACAGGAAGGTTGGTCAGTAGCTTTTAATGTCTTCAAAACCCAGAATCAAGATTCCACTTACGGAACATGCAGGAACATCCTTCAAATCTCCTCTCTCCCAGTCGCGCTCACTCTCATTGATTTTTGGAAGCTCTCCTAATCTCTATGCAGTGTACAGGTAGAGTATATCCTACTTCCTGTGGCAACATACCCAGTGACTTTATAAACAAGTCTTAGTTTAACATTCACCTCGTTTAATCCCCTCTTCTCCCCCTTCTATGCCGACTTGTCCCTCAGAAAGAAAAATATTAATCCGCCTTCGTCCATGCGTGGAGCGTGAAAGAACCCCTCCCTTCAAAACCCTGACATCAGCCCATCTCAGTCAACAGCTCCTAGAGAGTGTTCAGACAAGTGTGCATGCAAGGATCATCTGAACACAGAGATTCGGGAGCAAATGCAGATTTAGTCACACACCTGCATGTATGCAAGATTATACACAAACACAGCACACATGCATTCACACTAATCCTCTCCATGAGCCTTTCCAATAACCTCAAAACCCAGCTCTCCCCCTTGGAGGGTTATCATCTCCCCCTTTTCAGTCTCTCCACATTGGGCTTTTGTCCCCATGGGTGGAAACGACTGGGAAGAGCTCAGAGCATGTGTGCCAGTGATACGCACACCAGAGAAGGTGCTCCTCTTCTCTGGTGTCATGAGAGCTGATCTGGGACTGCTGCTTGAAGTCTGCTCTGGTGAAAAGACACAAAATTTTATGTTAATAAACTGAAACACAAAACAGTCTCACTGTCCCAGAACAACTCAAACTCAGAAGCTCAAGCTGCTAATCCAGATGCTCCAGTAATGACTCCCTTTTTCTTCTGTGTTGCTTTTCTTTTCTTGCATGACCAGAGGAAATAGTCAAGTATAATTTAGTCAATGGAGTATTTTGTGGTTCAGTATTTCTTTAATCACAAAAAAGTATATCTAAATATGCTCAAGTTGTGTTTGATGGAAAATGCGCCTGTCACTTTACTGTGCTCCTCTGCATTTTCTGTGGCATAAGATGAACAATTGACTTAGGTTGAACAGATTTTTTTCTGCCTTTTTTTTTTTTGTCACATTTTTCAAATTGTTGTTTTAATTTCAGTTAAAGATGATGTCAGTAAGCAATAAAAGAAGCTGTCAAATTATGATTTCTTTTCTTGAGGGCAAAAACTCCAAACTCGCTATGTGAGAAAACGTTGAAACTACGAATTGTCAAATTCATTGAGGAGGTCACAAGTAGAACCACAACTGCATTTAAAGCACTTCAGGCCTCACTGGCCCGTTGATTAATTTCTTATTCATGCTGTTGGCACTTGCCCAAGTGTTAACTATGGTCGTGACTCTGTTTAATTGGAGTCCAAATTTTAAAAGCTGTTGAATTTATAACTTAAAAACACAAAAATTATACATAATTCTAAATTATGTACAATAGTTTGCTACCTAAAGAAATATCTGCTCATTTCTTTGTTGCCCTGTTATCTGTCATGTGTAATCAAAGATTTTCACATATCTGAGTTTCAGTGGATTATTTTTTTTTCCATTTTGCAAGTCTTGGGTCCAACACTATAGACATCCCACTGCTTCATTTGGCTAATTTAAATTCACATATTCACTAAAAATCTGTCAAAGTCACATCTTACTTCCCTCCAACAGAAATTGCTTAGGGGTTGGTTTGTCCCAAACTGTTTTATTAAGGCATTTAATGGAAATAACTTAGGTACAGTAGATTATTGAAACATTTAAGTACACAACTTTAAAGTATGAAATGACAGTTTTTCTAAAAAGTGAGATAAACCTCAAAATCCCTACCTTCTATCTTTAGTCATATAAATGTATTATGAACACTTCAAATTATATTTAAAATCAAAACATTAAATGTAGCAAATTGATCAGTCTACAGAAATTAATATTAGAGAAAACAATTAATATTAGATGTTTAAAAACATAGCAGTGGTGGCATTTTTTCTGAACTTAATAGTTGATGAAGCAACAAATGCCTACTTTTAATACAGATATAAGTAGTGATAACCACTTCAAATGTCCGTATTGAATTCAGTGTGGGAGTCACCTGACAAACTCCATGTGGCACCTAGACCAGAAAACAACAAGTTTGCATTCACTTGTCCACCAAAATATTTCTGTTTAGATTAGTCGTATTTTTTTTTTAATCTTATCGCACCATGTCATGTTTTTACAACAATGATGCATTGTGGGACCAACAGTTTGTTAGGGAGCAAAGTTATAGAGACCACAGAAGTGGTTATACTATGTTATTTTGACTTACAGTATGTTTTTCATTTATAAAGAAATGTTTGGTTTTCCTCCTTGTCTTTCTGGTTTTGATCAAATTCCATTGATTGAACTTGATGGTATTTGAAGATAATATTTTGAACCCCTTTTCAATCAATAATTGAATTACTTTGAATTAACAGCATGCATATCCTGACAGCTGGGTCTTTCTGTTTTATATTATTCTACTACATATATTGGCATATTACAAGGCAAGTACATTTTTCCCAAATAGACCGACTAATCTGGTCTTTGATGTGTCGCTATTTCACAGCTGCATTTGATGCCAGAGTGAATCATACCAGATGTCTTATTTTTAATGTTTCATTTCTTATTCCATCCTGCTTTGACCTATGAAACTTGATTAGTTTATTATAGTTGTACTCAGGGGATACATTTTCAATGATTATGTTTTCAGTGCCAAATCTGGGTAATTATTAGAACTTTTAATTTAAGAAAATAGATGTTCCTTTTATTAAAGAGGTTTAACTATAGTCCTACAAGATTCTAGTTTAAACATATTCATTCATATTCATTTGTACCGTTATTAACCAAAATCAAATAAGTCAGTACGGTATCATAGTCTGGAGAGACAGTTGATCTGAAATGTGCTCCATTTTAGGGGAATAACTTCTGTCATAAAGCGTCAATGAGTAAGAAAGGAAATGATATAGGGGCAGATTACTACATCACAAAGAATAGAAGTTGAACAGATTAGGTAAAAAATGCCTGTGAGAATATGTTGAGTCTTTTCCAACATCAGGCATTCAAACCGGGGCAAGCCTGTCTGTAGATGAGCCTAAAATAATGAGATATGAAAATGACTTGCGGGCACTGAAGGAGTAGAGGGCTAGGGATTGTGGGGGAGGTTTGTGTTTGATCCCATCTCTTCCCTGCACAGTCACTTCAATTATCTTCCTCTCCTATCACCTCATCTATTGGGAATATAGGGAGTTATTAAGTAAAAGCTCAAGAGCTGCGGTTATTGGTTTAAAATGGTGATTACTGCAGTGAATGTGTATGAGAGGGTGGCAAAAAAGAGATTAAGTTCATGTTTGGAGTTTTTTTCGACAAACCTTTTCACATATTTTGACACTAAGCCTTTAAGGTGATCCTCATGAGCCGCTAACATAGAATTTAATTTTTAGATATCAAATTGTACACACTTTTTAAAATGCTATCTGCTTCATTCTCCACAATGCAGTGTGCTTATAATACGGCGGCCACTTGACTATTCAGGTAAACGTCTGCCTTATGTGACTTTGCCCAGCAGGTAAAAGCTGCATCTGAGTTGTAATTGCTATTTAAATGCCAGAGTTTCTTGCATGAAATCAAACATTATGGAGTACCACCAGAGCGTCAATATTCATATTTGTAAGCAGGCTGTAAAATCCAAAGGTCACAAATTTATGGAATGTGACATTTCCGTTGTGCTTTCTGCATTTTGCTCATCACTTCTGGCCTATTAATGCATAAATTAAAGCAGAAAAAAATTGTTGCAGCTCTATTAATACTGTGTAAATATTCAAGTTGTGAAGCTTTGATTCATTAAACTTGAATTGAAAATTTTGCCAGTCATGCTTTTATGCTTAATAATGATGCGACTTCAAATCAGAATTATGTTAAACCCCAGAAATAGTTTCTTTAATTAAAAGAAGCCTGAAGGAGCAGAGTACTTCATACTCTGAATATACTATATACACTGCTCAAAAAAAAAAGGGAACACTCAAACAACACAATATAACTCCAAGTAAATCAAACTTCTGTGAAATCAAACTGTCCACTTAGAAAGCAACACTGATTGACAATCAATATCACCTGCTGTTGTGCAAATGGAATAGACAACAGGTGGAAATTATTTTCATATTTATTTCATTCATTCAGATCTAGGATGTGTCATTTGAGTGTTCCCTTTATTTTTTTGAGCAGTGTATATTTTGAGCTCTTGGACATTTTAAAAATAATTTCTTACATTTTAATCATTGTGGTTTACCCCGCAGAACCTTGAGAACTACAAGCAGACAGCTGAAGAGTACTTTGAGGCCGCAGCTAAAATTGGAGAGCGGATACGGTAAATACTAAATATTTGAACTGTTCCATTTGTAATTATGTTTCATCCTCATTGCCTCTGTATATTTTCAGTCTAAAATACTAAATCAGTTTACGCAGTGTACTTTGAAGTGGACTTTGTCTGATTTAATTTTGTTTCTATTTGTTTGCAAATCCAGCAGATAAAAATTTTATTGTGTTGCAGTGGAACAAAAACCATCAATGAAAAAACAACAATTTAACAAGTGTGAGACAACAGTGCGTGGAGGCTATTTGCAATATTATAGGTCTGCTAAAATATGGACTTTCCAGCCTCAAGATGCCTGTTAAACAGTTTTACTCACAGTTGTGAGACTGGGTGATAATTTACTAGTATCACCCATCATTTCGTCTATTATTATATTGTGGCTGAGGTGTCAAATTAACATGGACAATTACTTTTTTTATGCTTGAATATGTAGTGAAAAATCTTAGTGAAGTGTCAAAACAGCAGATTTAGGCTTAAAGAGATATTATACATGAAATTGGTCTTCAAAATTAAAAAAAATCTAGTATCTTAGATGTGAAACATAATTGTGCTGGAATTCATCCAAAAGAAGGCATGCTTCAATGTACGGATGAGATAGGATATTATGATATAAGAACTCAGCAAAAAAATTAGATTTTGCTGACTTTGTTTGAGCTTTTGTTATAGGCCCTTGGAATGAATTATTTAAGCCTGTCTCCCAATTGTATCTTTCTATGATACTCTATTTTGATTGAACCAATGCTTTTGTAAATTAATTTCCCTGATATATTGACAAAGCATGCCTAAAATTACTACTCAGGCTGACAGCCCTGTTACAAAAGTGCAAAGTACTATAAACTTATTCAGATTTTGCATGAAGGACATGATGCTCCTGTGAGAAAAACCTCACCTGTTATCAGAAAGTATATCAGTTTTATTCAACACATACCTACTGTCATGCTGACGCTGTCAGAGTATGTGGGACTTGCTAATTAATTCTGCTTCATAACACCAGTTCTCATTGCTTTCTATCATTTAGTCAGAATGTGCTCAGTTTTCTTTCTGGCATGTCTCCACGTTTTATTTGAATTTTCCAAATTTCATGAGACTTACTTGTCAGGACCTCTCATTTGATCGTGAAGGGGAACGTATATAGCCAGAGCATGGAACCAAAGTAGGCTCTGGAAAGGTTATTGGTGGGGATGATATACATGATTATTTTCTGGCACAAATAGCTTTTCTTGTTTTTTTTTTGCATGTGAGCTGAAATATTTAATGTGGTGTTCCGTCACCAAAGCAGCAAATGTTTGCTGTATCCCATACATTGCTTGCAGCATACCTTAAGTGAAACTTTGCATGGCTTTCCTTTAATGAAGGCCAGATTTTCACTAACATATTCACTATTGTATTGGTTCAAAATGCATTATTGCTCATTTTATACAATCAGATTTATTGTTGAATTAGACAAATATGAAATTCAAGGAGTATAAATACTTATACAAGACACTGTAGGTTACAGCGAAAATCTCTAAAAAGTTTATGGTAAGTATTGTCTGATGGACAATGACCTCATCCATCACACTAACATCTTCTAGTAGCAGACACATTCAATTCAGCTCCGCACAATGCAATCCTCAAATTTTGTCCAAATGATTACATTTGTAAAGATTTGCTATTTTCTGTAGTTGCATGGGCGAGGTTAAAAGATCACTGCCGCACAAGTTTGCTGGAGAAATGCGTTTAGTTTGGCCTTGGTGTGCGCTATTATTTTTCTACTGTGGACACAAAACATTCACTCCAATTTCCCTTTTCCATCTCTGCCACACATGGAGGGACATTTTGTATTCAGACAGTCATGTGCTCATCATGTTCTGTCAGCATTAGGGCAGTGTTTCATTGTAGAGTGGTCATGCTGTCATTTCACACTACACTGACCAGCCAGTAATTATTCTATTTACCAAGGGGAGGATTGGAGCAGTATACATTATTCTACTTAGCTAAAATAACTAACTAAATAAATAATAATAAAAAAATGATGTATATATACTTCTTCACTCTTTCTTGGCAACTAAACCTCTACATGTCCATCTTCTGTCTTTTTTAATATGTTTTTTTACTCACTTTGTTGTTTGTTGGCTTTTGTTTTAAGTTTAACCTTTACAATAATCATAGTAGAATGTAAAATGTTTCCTTTTTTTTATCATAGCTATTTCTACATGTACACATCAGTTAGATCTAAGAATGCTCTTAATTAAAAAAAAGAAAAAAAAAGAAAGATAATTTGTGCCAATCCCTTCTGGGCATGCACATTTGTTTTGCCTCCAGTCCTTGTACTTCATCATTGAAACTTCTTAGCATTGTTTATAAGTGTGTTGGTTTCATCGTATTCTATGTGATAAAAATAATTTGGGCTGGTCCAGGTGAATCTTTAAAAGATTTCTGATAACTTGTATATGCCACAAGCCTTGAACATGTGGACCAGTAAGTCTTTTGTGGCATGACAACCTTGAGTAAATTTAACAAGTAAATTGGAGTGCATGATCCAACTGCTTTTATTTAAAGCAGAAAAGTATATCTTTATAAATACAATGACAATAATGTCCTCCGCAATACATATTTGTTGTTATTTTGACTTTGATACATAGACTTACAATACAGAATAAATATATTTGGCCTCCTAAATATAGTTGGTTTGCTGGTTTGCTTCATTGAGACACACTGAGAGTTTATCAATAAGATATGAGCTACTTAATTAGTTGGGCTAGCTGGGCTGATATAATACACTGTGTGTCTTCTTCTCTTAGTAGCAGACATCAGAATAAGATTTTTGATTTTCCAACTAGTCAATCTTTGGTAAGGCCCAGTTAAGCTTAAAAACTGTCTGATTCTGATCAACAGGCAATTTCTGGATGCAGCTCTGAATTCAAAATTGGAAGAAAATAAAATGTATAGCTGAACACTTTGTGGAAGGGGGAAAAAAAATCCAGTCTCTTTATATGTTTTGTTGTTCTTTCTCATCCTTAGTGCATTTGTGATTGCATGGATCAGCAACTTACCACGACACCTGTTAACAATTCCCTTTATACAAACGAATACATTGCATGATGAAGCCAAAAGCCACATATTTGGCCAAAATGTCTGACAAAGCTTTAGAGAAGATGAGTCTCACCTCAGGCGCTTCAAGAACTCAGAATCCATATTTTGGAGCCCACAGCTTATTTCCTCTTCTTGCTTGCGTTTCATGTGATTCCCTATCAAAATATTGCCTTCATATGGAGACATATTGCTATAACGAGTTTAGAAGAGTTCATCTGTTAGTCTTGCCTTGGGGTGTCCATGCAACCCATATTCCCCAAATAGCACCTGACTGCAAAGAAAGCACAACATTTTGGCAGGGCTTACCTTAAGATCTTGAAATCTATTAATCCTCTTAAAAAACCTTGTTACTCTAGGGCAGAATCTCAGTGAACCTCAGGTGTCTGTGTGTGGATTCATCCCAAATGTGACTGTGCAGACTGGTAGTTTAAAGCCCACTGTCTCATCTGAATCTCTGCATCTTTACTATTGTACAGGTGAATACTTGAATAAGAGGTACGGGTTATTGTCTGCTATGCATCTCGCTGCTTTTAGTTTTTCATTTCTGTCTTTCTGTCTTTCTGAGTTTTGATTGAATTTTTAGGGCTTTGCTATTAAACATGCAAACAGCCCAGGCAGTTCAGAGTTCAGTCGAAACCTGACAAATATATGACTAACCCTGAAAAATTCAGAACATTGTATTTGACCATTGCTATTTGTTATTTGAAAGTACAGCAGGTGGTATTTGGTTGATTAATTTAAATCAAGCACATTTGTGATTTATTTTTGTGCTGCAATTATACCCAAAGTTCTTTGTAAGTTGCAGTATAACAAAGATATACAAAAAATATTGACAATTGAAACTAGTGAGCAAAATGGGGGGAAAAAAATATTACATTACACCACCAATGTAGAGACTACATTAGAGATGTGTGTAATGCAAAACATATTTAGAGACAATGTGTAAGGTTATTACATTTTGTATTTTATTTCCCCTCAGTATTGTTTTGTGATTCTCAATTAAACATATTTTGAGCCATAAGCTTGAAATGCTTTTTTTTTTTTTTAAGTAAAACTGTTTAAATAAAAAACTAAATGGAGACACTGAAAAACTGTCTGAAATTGCAAAGCTAAAGATGAACTCTGATAGAAGGTCCTTATCATTCCCAACTTGAGTGAGTCGTTCAACCACAAGTTTTTTTGATTGAGCAGTTATCAGCGATGAGGCGTCACACACAATCCCATGAACACACGGGGCCCTTATCTTGTTCTTGCTTGTCACCTGTTTTAATGAAACACTGCCTTTATCCTATAAAATCTTCTTTTTCCTCTGTCCCCACAAAGTGAGATTGGTAGGGATCAATCAGTCTGGCTAACTGAGTGCACATTTTTATCAATCAATTCCATCTGTTTTTAGCATTTCATGTGTCAGTGTAGAAAGATAGAAGCAGAGCTCGGTCTATCTGCAGCACACGACTTCTACTGCTCCTGGATGTTATTCCCATCCGAGATAGAACTGTGTTTCTGCAGAGCTGAGATAAAATTTAGGGATGTAATATTGCAGTATATGAACTTAGGATTTAAGTTTGTGTCATAACTTAGCAAAGGTTGGATAAATCTTTCCCATGACTGCCAAATTATACTTTGTAGAAATATTCTGTGTTTCTGATATTGCGTGATTGGTAAGTAAGATTAGTGTGAGCTGAACTATGTTATGCTCAAAGCATTTTCATAAAAGCTTCACAAAGCCTCTTACAATAGAAGATGCCTGCTCTGTCGTTTCTTTTGATCTCACCCCAACCATGACATCTTTGATCCTCTCTTCGCTTCCTTTTCATTCAGTGTATTATTAAAAAGTAAAGTAGAATGCCACAGCTACTAGTTTAAGGCAACCAACATCCTCGTCATTAATAAGCATCCCCCAGTACACACACAAACAC